AGGGGAGAGGAGGGAAAACACACAATATAATGAATGCAAATACAAGGAACCTTCCTACATCCCTTTATCATTCACTAGCTTCCAATCTTGAGTTGATAAGGGCTGATTTTGTTTGACTTTGTCTTGGCTTTGGAGCTGGCTTTGTCTGTCCTGTTGTGGAGGCAAAAATCACAAAGAATGAATGAAATCCTTTGATGATTGTGGTGGATATTCTGGCTAAAAAGAGGGGACAAACAAAGATGGGTGATGGATGGTGTATTGGCCTTATATGGTAAGAAATGACAAGGAAAGATCATGGGTGCAAGGATGTGAAATAAGTCAACAAAAGGACAAATTTTCACTATTCAACTTTATGACTTCTATCCTGATTGTGAGAAAGGTGATTTCTATTTGTTAATAGTTGAAAAGGGGCATGATTTATGGATAAAATGGAAGGGATTTTAGTCCCTAGTTGTAGGAAAAAAAAAGAGGAAAGACATTATTTGGGTAAAAGGACTTTAAAAGAAACAAACAAAGGTTTTGGCTTTTATTTTCTCTCATTTTCGGCCAAGGGCTTTGAAATGAGTGGGGGAAGACTTTATTTGAATAAAAGAAAAGAAAGAAGACTTTTGGATATGTTGGGAGAGTTGGGATTTTGGTGGAGTCATCCAGGGGAACATCAAAACAACAACGTAATCAATTTCCAAAAAGAGCATCCCGAAGAGCAAGGAATGTATTGGAACTGTGGGCCGATTAAACCATTATCCAATGGGGGTAATAGGTATCTCATTACTTTTATTGATGATTTTGAAAAATATGGGTTTATTTTCTGAAAGAAAAATCAGAAGCTTTTGTTATTTTTAAGAGATTTAAAGTGTTGGTTGGATGGGAAAAAGGTTGTCCAATCAAGATCTTTCTACAGAGTTCAAGAAGTACTCTGCAGATAATGGAAGTAAGAGGCAACTTACAGCAGGTTATACACCACAACAAAAGCCTGTTGAAGAGAGGTGGTATCTCTAAGACATTTTGCCCTGAAACTGTAAATTGGAGTTTTCATATTTTGAATAGAAGTCCTACGCTTGTTGTTCAGGATTTGACACCAGAGGAGGCTAGGAGCGGAAACCGACCAAGTGTAGATCATTTCCGAATCTTTGGGTGTATTGTATTGCATACACCCATATTCCAGATCAAAAGAGAGCCATCCAAACTTGACGACAAAGGGGTGAAATGCATTTTTATTGGTGTCAATGATCAATCAAAGGCTTATAAGCTTTATAATCCTATCGCCAAGAAAATAATTGTTAGCCGGGATGTGGTTTGTTATGAAGGAAGATTTTGGCCAGCAACTCGAGAAGATGAGATACAGCTTCCAGCAATAATTGCAGAAGGAATGTAGGATGAAAGCCCATAATCACCACCACCTATTCCAGCCACAGTAGAAGGATCTGGAGATAATCCATCTCAAGCAACACCAGAGAATAATTCCCATCCTCGGCGTGTTAGAAGAAGGCCAACATGGATGCAAGATTATGATGTGACTGGAATGGATTGAAATGAAATTACCTAATTTGCTTTGTTTGCAGATTCTATGTTGTTTTCTATAGTGTTGAGTTATATCTTCCTATAGATTTCTTCTTATAAAGGTTGTCTACAACCTATTTGATAAAAGTTCCCAAAGATGATTTGTCTTACACATAAACCCTCCCGACATATTCATCATCATCATAAAGCCTCTATGTTGCAACTTTGAAAACACCAAATAGGAGCCTGTAAAAGCCAAATACTTCATCTTTTTCGTATTGTAAACTTATTTACCTCGAACCAAATATTTTGTTGCTCAATTCTAACATCATTAATTTATCACCTTAAAGCACGTGACGAAAGGAGTGGTGAACTTCAATCAGAAACGGAAGCATGAGATTTGTTTTGAAAAAAGAACCATGTTTAAACAGTTTACATGATCATGCCTGTAGATTATAGAGGATCTACATCTACTCCAGGCAAACAACAACTAATACAGTTATCCCAACAAACAGGGACCATAAAACTAAAGAACACACACAAAAAGAAAACGAGTTTTAGCTCCCTGGGAACCAGAGCTTGGTTACTAATAATAATGATGATGCAGCAGAATATGATCAATATAATAAGTGTAGGAGACTAATCTGAGTGCATCGAAGTCAGTTAGGAAAACAAGGGAAATTACAGGACTTACTCCCATAGGTGTCACGAAACATCGGTAATCAACAGCTCTCATGGAGCGGAAATCAGGGTTGGGACCCTTGTCCATGCCATCATCCATTTTAATACCTGAAATATAGAGGCATGACAAACTAATTAAAACAGGCCGGGTCAATATATATATATATGCTCAGGCTGCCATCTAACTCATTAGTTGAACACTTTTGCAAGCAAGCTCTATTGTGGAAGATAGAAACAAAGCAGGGTGTAAGAAATGTATTTACTCAGATATTCGTGAATGGAAGGCATCAAATCAGGATCCACACTGCAAGCAAGGCATGAAGCAAAGTTAAAGAAGCAAATATAAAATCAATCCTAGCCAGCCCTGCAGATATTATGTATGGTTAGATGGAAACACCTCAAAACCCCGCCCAAGTCGACATCCTTTTTAGATATTGATATGTTTGCATCGCGGATGAGAATCTTAGCAACACCCTTTATCAGGTCCTCACCAGAAATCTGAAAGACAAAAGAATTGATACAAACAATCACATCCCCCATACAAAGAGACCATAAGGTAAGGGATCACAGACATAATAATTCAGCCAACTAATTTGGTATTTTATGAACAAATATAAAATTATATGGAAGAGCTGGACGTACATCTGAAGGCATTGAAGTGTAGAAGTGGGTGAGTGAATCGCCAGCCTTGTCAAATATATCAATCAATCCAAACCCACTTAGATTTGGAAATTTGCCAACGATAGCTCGTGAAAGCACATCATTCATAGCATTGGTTGATGAACAAACTACGTGTAAACAAGGGAGTAGTCATTAACTAAGTTAATGCACAAGTATTAATCCAAAGGTTCAACAAACAACAGATGCCTTGAACTCAAAAGAGTTCAAAATACCTGATTTCAAAGAAGGGAGAATAGTCGGATGAGTGAGCAGAAGCAAGGCAGCCAACTCGATAACATCGCCATTATAGAGTAAGGAAACCGCAACATGGTGAATGGAGTCAGTGTAATCAGCAAGCAAGCGTACACACTCCAGTTTTTCCCTGAGCTTAGGGTGGCAAAGTAGGATGAGAAGCTTGACAAGAGCATCATCTCGAGGCCATTGGGACAAAGGGAACACCTTATGGAGTTGACAGAGGAGCACATGGATGGGAAGATAACCAAGATGACAAGGCTCATTTGCAAACTGTTTGCCACCAAAATTCTTAAATAGAAACCCAACAATTTCGGGGTCACAGTGATCGATACGCAACGCTCTCCGGAAAACATCTGGGCTAGAAAAAGGAGCCATACCGCCGCTGCCAACATGAGGGTTAAGCATAAGAAAGACGCAGTTCTTAGCCCTCAATGAAAGGCACTCTTCCAACAACTCCGGGTATGTCGAGGCGCCAATCTCTTCCTTGTGATCTTCCAACAAAGCCCTGAGTTGCTCTGCATCATCTTCCCCCAATATGCGCAGTAGCCAATACAAGGGATCCCATGGTATCCTTGACATTTCTGTACCCCTTTTCTCTATCTTCCACCCCAACGCTAAAGCCTTTACATCTTTCTGTGAATCAGTCATACCTGCCCAAGCCCTGTGTGATAAACAAAAACAAATGTCAAAGATCCAACCTTTCAACAGCAATTTTTTTTCTTTAAAAAAACAAACAAACCCTAAATCGGAACCAAAAAAGGACCTCAATTGAAGCAAAGCAGCATAAATTAGAGTTAAGTTAATAAGCAATATCAGAAGCTCACATTGATGGCTGTGGAGAAATGATGCAGGTGGATTTGCTGCGAAGAGGAAAGTCAAAATTACGGGATGGGATCCTTTATACGGAGTACCAAATTTCTTATCCCATCTTCGATCGCATGGTTTTTCAAGCATTGCCACATGTTTTTTTATACGTTTGATATACGGAATTGACGGAGTTGGAATTGAATTGGAATTTAAATTTCATGAGATTCAATTCTATAGAATTCGATTCTGCCAATTCCAATTCATTATTTTAGCACTACCAATTCCAAATTCACATAATTTTTGTGCTACCAAACACCAGAATTGGAATTGAATTCTTCAATTCTAATTCTACAATTTGAATTCCATGTACCAAACGGGGCTAAAAGGTCCCCAGTTATATGTTTTTACATATTTAGTCCCTAAATATCAAATATTACTAATTTAGTCTCCAATTATTAGTTTAATTTTCACGAATGGTCCTTTGTTAACATTTTCGTTAAAAACGTAGATAAAATTGTAAATTCACATTTCTTTCTCTCCTCAATTAAGCTTCCTCCCTTCACTCGCACTCATTTCCCAAACTCGTCGCTGAGTTTGAAATTGAACCCAAAACCAAAAATCATCACTCTTCTCTCTATTGTTTGTCGAACTGGTGGTACCCAAATTCAAAACCAATAACCTTCATCGATAAATTCTAGTGTTTATTTTCTTTGCAATTTCTTTAGATTAACTCATAAAAATTATCCATAAAGTTTATTGATTTTAATTTTAGGTTCCACGAAGAAAAAAATTAAGAAATGAGAAAAGGCAGAAGGAATAAAGAATAAATAAGGATTTAAAAAAGGAACTAAAGAAAAAAGCAGTAAACGAAGCAGGAAAATGTAAAATAGTGATTTTTTTAAATGTCCTTTTTTGTTTGGTTATGGTACTATATGCCTTATTTTTTGTTTTTTTTTAAATTTTTTGTTTGTCTTTTTTTTATATTTTTATTTTTTGCATTTTTATGTATTTTTTTTTGAACCGAAAGCAGAAATTTTATTCATCTTCAATATTCAAAGACAACTACAAGAGTACTTTATTCTAAGCCAACTACATCATAAACAGAAAACAGTAAATTGTAATACATCAAGCATCCAACTTATCCTACTTCTGACCGTCTTGACCGCAGAAAGATGCTAACATGACCCTTTATCCAGTGAAATNTTTTTGTTTTTTTTTAAATTTTTTGTTTGTCTTTTTTTTATATTTTTATTTTTTGCATTTTTATGTATTTTTTTTTGAACCGAAAGCAGAAATTTTATTCATCTTCAATATTCAAAGACAACTACAAGAGTACTTTATTCTAAGCCAACTACATCATAAACAGAAAACAGTAAATTGTAATACATCAAGCATCCAACTTATCCTACTTCTGACCGTCTTGACCGCAGAAAGATGCTAACATGACCCTTTATCCAGTGAAATGCTTCCTCTGTTGAGACAACAATATTCTTGTGCAGCTTTTCATTCCTACTTCTTCATATGCAGTATGCACATGCTGCAAAGATCACAGTGATTTTCTTTCTTCTCTTCATAAGAAGTGATATTTTGGATCTTTGCAATCGATCCTTCTAAATTGTCATCCTCAAACTTGTAGGAAGTCTAAGAACACCAAGTGTAGATCTTCATGTATATTTCCTTAGCATAAGGATAGGTGCGGAATAAATGTTGGCTGTACTCATCACCATTCTGGCAAAGAAGGCATTGAGTATCAATAGGAAGGATTTTGCTCGGCCTTACCTTGGTTTGAATTCTGTTCTTGCAGATGAGCCAGAGAATAAATTTGTGCTTTGGAATGGTGAGTTTGTTCCATACCATCTCTGCCCAACTGACAGTATGTGATACGGGTCAGGATATTGAGGATGGGCAGTGGCGGAGTATGTAGACGCGAAGGAACATGAGGAGATGCCGCGAAGGTCGGGTCGGGTGTCCAAACCACCGGCCCGGTACAAGGATTATGTTTAAATGATATTTCTTATTTATGATTTATTGCATTTTAGATTTTCATTAGATGAGCGTATTATAAGCTCCTTCGAGGGTTTCTTTTCGATTCTTTATCTCGATGCTTTTCTTGAACCGACAGGTTAGATAATTTAGTTAATTAGGTTTAGGGTTTCATCTCGTAGCCTTATATATTGAGATGTAAGTTCTTTGAGGAATAACTAAGAAGAACTTAAGGGTCTGTTTGGTATACGGAATTGACGGAATTGGAATTGAAATTGAAATTCCATGGGATTCAATTCCATAGAATTGAATTCTGCCAATTCCAATTCATTTTTTGCACTATCAATTTCAAATCCACATAAGTTTTGTGCTACCAAACACCAGAATTGGAATTGAAGCCCTCAATTCCAATTCCACAGTTTGAATTCTATGCACCAAACAGGGCCTAACCCTAATTCTTCTTCTCACCCTACGGCCGCAAGTCCTTCTTCAGTGTATCTTTCCTATCTCCTTCTTCTCCTTACTATCACTCTTCAAGGGCATACTTTGGTGGTGGATTTGTTTGTGCTTGAGATCAAAGGATGACCCAAAATTGTGCTTGGGGTGTAGTGGTTACAGAGCCTCAGAAAGGTCTCACATGATTACGTGACGATGACGATGGAGTTTGTTTTGGGGGTAAGCCGATTCTCTTACGGGGCGACGAACCGGTAACATAGGTTGTCTCATACAATGCCATGCAGACGTTGTTTCACCACAGGGGCGTGTCGGCAAGTTTTGAGATATATTTTTTCGGCATAGATGGTCCGTCGTCGCAAGAGCAAAAAAATCAAAACATACATAGTATTTTTTTGTCTGTTTATAAATCTTTATTGTAAACAATTAAACAAAACAAGTGAATAAAAAAAGCCCTAAATAAATAACTAAAAAATAAAAAACAAGACAAAAGAAAATTAAAAAAAAAAACAAACAAAAGATAAGTCATAAAGTACCATTTTTTTCATATTTTTTCAAAAAAAAAAACAAATAAGATCAAAAAATGACACTATATGTCTTATTTAGTTTGATCTTTTTGTCAAATTAAGATGTATAATTTGATCTTTTTGTTTAAGTAAATTGATAAAATATAAAATAACAACGTTATTAACAGAAAAGATAAAAGACAAAGGGGAAAATAACAAAACATATAAATAAAGGAAGAAAGAAAGAAAAAAAGAAAAGAAAAAAAGAAAAAAAATTAAGAAATGAGAAAAGGCAGAAATGGAATAAATAATAAATAAAGATTAAAAAAAGGAACTAAAGAAAAAAGTAGTAAACGAAAACAAACAGAAAAAAGTAAAATAGTGATTTTTTAAATGTCTTTTTTTATTTGTTTATGGTACTATATGCCTTATTTTATGTTTTTTTTAAATTTTCTAGTCTTAATTTTTTTTTGCATTTTTATGTATTTATTAAGATAAAATACACATTTTCGAATTGTTCTTTGGAAATTGACTAGAGGTAACGGGTAAGATTGGGCATAATGCCCCATGCCCCTCCCAACAGTTAGTTACATTTTTTCACCACGGGTGTACTACCGCAACCGTCGCCGGTTCGGATGCGGGAATCGTTAGTACCGGTTTCGATATCGGGTCGGAATCGTACCCAGGTCCAGGCTTCTCTAAGTTGTTCATGTAAATTTTTTCTTTCTTTTTTTCTAGGAAAAAATTCACATTTTCGGGCCACTCTTCGGAAACAGGTTAGAAAAATGTTAGATTTACAAACAAAATAGTCACAAAACTCACAAACTTACTATTTGTGAACTTCAATAAAAAAGTTAAAAGTCTAAAATAATTTTAAAATAAAAACTTTAACCATAAATGGTAAGTTAGTGAATTTTGTGATCATTCTGTTTGTGAACCTAGCATTATTTATCAGGTTAGGTGTGCAGTCTAAAAAAAATTGGATATCCGATTATCCGAAAAATTCTAGAAATTGAATCCATATCAGATCTGATTTTTTTCGGGTATACGATCAGAAATATCCGAAAACTAAAATATCAGATTAGATATCCATTTTCCGGATCAGATCGAATCGTGGACGGATATTTCGGATCAGATTTTTTTTAAACACCCTTAGGGGCTGTTTGGCAACTTCTGAATGGATAAGTGCTGAACCAGTAAGAGGTCTGAATCATTAAGTGCTGAACCAGTAAGAGGTCTGAACCATTAAGAGCTAGTATATTGCTTAACTATTCAGAGGCAAATGTCTGATCAATTCAGATAACAGCTCTTAACCATTCAGACCCTGTATAATACTTAACCATTCAGAGGCAAATTTCTTAACCATTCAGACATCTGAACCATTAAGAGGCTGAAACAAACAGTCTGAACCATTAAGTGCTGAATCATTCAGACATCTGAACCATTAAGAGGCTGAAACACCCTTATTACATCAATGCTTCTTGTGTATGGTCGATCTAACTTTGACTTTGGAAAATTGTGGAACGGCGGAGAACAATAAGGTTTGGGTGTATAATAAATGGATGGCTGAGAGAGAAAGAGAGGGGGAATCAAAAGCAAAGAGATAGGGAAGAAAAGAGACAGGGAATGGACTACCCAAAGATACCAAATTCAACGTTGTATAAGCTGCGGGAGATATTGGAGGAAGATGATCCGGTGAGATTGAAGGCATTCTTAGAAGATGATGAATCGGATGTGTGGCTCTCGGAGTACCCGGAGGTGATGACGGAATGCCTATCGTCCGGGGCTAAGAAATGCGCCTTTCTGATGCTCAGCGGCGATGTTCGCCACGGGATTGGTGAGTATTCTAGACGGGATGTTCTCCGTCAAGCCTTGGAGATCCGTACGTGTGACCCCGAAATTGTCGAGGTTTTATTCGAGCGTTTTGGTGGCGAGCGGTATGCAAACACTCTTACTCGTTTGGGTACCCATCCCATCCACGACTTCATCTCTATGCTCACACGGATCTTCCCTGTGTGCACTTGGATTCGAGACGGTTCTCTCTTCAAGCTTCTCATATTACTTTGTGATCCTCAACTCCGTAAGAAGCTCCATTGTTTGCGCTTGCTTGCTAATTATACTCACTCCCTCCCTAAGGTTGCTGCTTCCTTTCTTATTAATGGTGATGTTGTCGAGCTTGCTGCCTTGCTTTTGGTCGCTCACCCCTCGCTTCTCCATCATTTAAAATCTTGTCATATTGAGAATCATCCCTCCACAATGAAGGACACAAGTGAGATGGTTTCATTGGCCGCCGTTGGAAAATTTCCAAATCCAAGTGGGTTTGGATTGATTGAGATTTTCGAAAAGGCTGGCGATTCACTCACCAATTTCTACACCAAAATGCCTCAAGATGTATGTTATGCCCCTCCATATGTATATATCTATTCACGGGTTTATAAAATAAGTTGTGTTTGATGAATGGGTTTTTTTTATTTTGGGTGATTTCAGATTTCCGGCCAGGATCTGATAAAGAGTGTTGCTGAGATTCTCATCCGTGATGCTCAAATTCCAGTATCTGAAGATGATGTGGACTTGGCCGGAATTTTGAGGTGTGCCCGTCTTATTGTTGGGCTTGATTTTACCCTTGCTTCTCAGCTTTGATTAGTCACTATGCTTTGTCTAACTTGATTGATTGACCATCTTATGTATGCCTGGTCTGCAGTGTGGAACCTGAAATGATGCCTTCCATTCACCAATATCTGCTTGGTAAAACCACACTTTTATTCCGCCATAATAATACAGCTTTCTTTGTTTCAAAATTAGCCTGCTTGCAGCAAAGTCGAACCGCTGGTATTATTGTTAGTCCGAGCATGTATATATGTATAATGACAAGACGTGTTGTCGTGCCTTTTGAATTTT